CAGAAAGTCCAGAAACTTATTCCACTTAAGTGCATAGGATTTCCTGGTGGAGGGCTTCTGTGCAGCCTGAATCACAATCTGTACTGAGGCAGGTAGCGATGTCAAAGATAGATTCTCCAGGCTACCAGTGGAAGAGAGTCTAAGTCCGGGTGTTGAACCTGACCACCGTGCATCGAGAGCAGGTCAGGACGGAACTCAAGGCACCGGTAACATCCCTGAGCCAGATGGAGCAGGGGGGCAAACCACGGTTGCCTCGGCCACCAAGGGGTGATGAGGATGGCATCCGTCCCGTCTGTCCTCATTTTGGCAATGACCTTTGCAATGAGTGAGGATGGGGGAAAGTGTAGAACATCTTCCCGGACCACTTGTACTGGAAGGCATCTCCTCGCAACCCTGGAGCTGGAATCCGAAAACAGAACTCTATACAATGGGTGTTCTCCTTGGTCGCGAAGAGGTTGGTCTCCAGATGGCCCCAGGTGGAGAAAAGGTCGAAGAATGTATCTGGGTGGAGACGCCACTCATGACATGGGCTGGATGATCTGCTGAGCTCGTCCGCAAGGTTGTTGTCCTCCCCAGGCAGGTGCACTGACTGCAGGAGTATGTTGTTGTCAATGCATAAGTTGCAGATGCAGATTGTGATCTGCAAGAGTGTCTGACACCGTGTGCCTCCCTGTTTGTTCAGGTAGAACATCACGGTGATGTTGTCTGTGATTAGGAGTACTACTTTGCTTGACAACACAGTCTGGAGAGCCTGAAGGGCCTTCTCCACAGTCAGCATTTTGAGGGCGTTGATGTGGAGACCTCTCTCTGTTGAGGACCACCGATCCTGGATAGTCAGTTCCTGCGTGTGCGCCCCCCATCCCTCTAGGGAAGCGTCCATAATTAAGTTGACCTCCGGTTGCAGGGCCAGGAAGGGCATCCTGGTGCAGACATTGCTTGGCTCGAGCCACCAGCACAACGATCTGGCTATGGGCCTCGGTACCGTTAGCCATTTGGAAGGGCTGTCACACACAGGGTTGAACGCAGACAGGAACCAAGATTGTACGGGTTGGAGCTGAAGTCTTGCCCATGAAGTCACAAACGTGGTCAATGCCAGATGGCCCAATGCTACCTGGATAGTGTGGGCTCTTACGCGTCTGTGCTGAAGACAGTCCCTGATGGCAACACATAGAGCATGGAACCTGTCCTGTGGAAGGAAGGCCTTGAACTCTTGGGAGTTGAGGATCGCTCTGATGAATTTCACCCGCCTGGATGGAATCAAGCTGGACTTCTCCCTGTTGACCATCAATCCGAGAGAATCCAGAAGGGAGAAGGTGAAGTGGACATCCCGTTGAAGTTGCTGACTGGTCGGGGCTGTGAAGAGCCAGTTGTCCAAGTAGGGGAAGACTGTGATCCCCTTCTGATGGAAGTAGGCTGTGACTGGAGCCATACACTTCATGAACATTCTTGGTGCCGAGGACAGGCCAAATGGAATAACCCTATACTAGAAGACCTCGATCCTGACAGCGAAGGTGAGGAATCTCCTATGATTTCTTCAGATGCTGACATGGAAGTAAGCGTCCTTGAGATCGATGGT